ACAATAATCAATATCATTATGGTAGGCGGTGGCGGCGGCGGCGGCAGGGCCAGACTTGGGCCGGTACAAAGGCCTCAGGGGGCCGCATTCGGCCCCTGGGCCTTAGGTTGCCTACCCCTGATTTAGAGCCCTAGTCAAGGGCCACTTACAGGTAGCAAAGAACCTGGAGGGAGTGTACTCACCCAGTTCATACATAAATTTGAAATATTCCCTGAAATAAGAGGAAAGAAAGAGAGGGAATGAAGATCAATGATAAAATGTAATTGGCAGCTTCTTAGGTACAACAACAACAACAATAATAAACTTTATTTTTGTACCCTGCCTTTTGCCTTTGGGCAATCAAGGCAGCTCACAACAATTGCATATAAAACAAATCCATAACAGTAATAACACAATAAAACAACTTAAACCCCCCCCCCTTAAAATTACATATAACATGTATACTATGCTTTTGGATAGCCCTCTCCAACCTCCAAGCTTCTAGATAAACTGGATTACAAATCCCCCTCAGCCAACTACCTAGCAAGGCTTGTAAATTCAAGCCTCTAGAAACTGCAAGACTGATCTCTGATTAGGACATGCTTCTATTGCAGCCACTCTGGTGTTGGGCTGAGATTTGCTGGATAAGAGGCAAGCCTCTTGGAACTAGCAGCTAACCACAAGGCTAATCATTAAAAACATAGGAAGCTGCACTTCTTTGACACCTGCAACCTACATTTACTTGGGTGGAAAGTTTCAAGAGGATTTGTGGGGGTGTTTCTATATTCTACAAAACATGATCTAAAAGGTCATCATTATGAAAAAGGGTTAATTTAGAAACTTGCTGACCTTTAGGATGTTGACCAATTTAAAACTGCCAACTTAGTTATGGAGGGCACCACACAAAATGTATATAATATTTGGGAATTCGTTGTTCAAAGCTCCTGATTTGCCTTAGTGCATTGCTTAGAGGCATTGCTGCACACTAATCAATAAACCGCTTCTTTTGAGAAATAGTCACTACTGGTTTACATTTTGGTAAACCCAGCAGGCACGAATCATCCTTGCTCCTGCTGTACCAGTGTACCAGTGGCTTCCATTCACAGATGCAAAGATAACAGAGCTTGTCTAATTATAGAAGGTGGGGAATGCATATAAACAGTTCTGGAAATGTCACGTGAATCAGCTGCAAAACAAACAAACAAACAACAGATTAATAAAACAACCCTTCACTTGAAGGAATGCATATCATGCTCCTACAGCTCTCCATCATTTCCCGGAAGTGACAACAATGAGTTTTACCAAGAGGATAGCTTGAAATCTCATCTGTTGAGGCAACTCTGGAGACAAATCCTATGTAAAGGCAGTGAATATGAAGTGGTCTAGCCTGGATGAAAGGCTGTTCTGCATTGGGGGATAGTACAGTGGGCCCTTGGTATTCGCTGGGGTTTGGTTCCAAGACCAACAACAACAACAACCCCATAGATACCAAAATCTGTGGATGCTCAAGTCCCATTATATATAGTGGTGAAGTGAAATGGTATCCCTTATATACAATGGCTACAAAATATCCTAAAGAGCAAAGACATACAACTGAGCACCAAAGTCAGAATTGCCCAAGCCATAGTATTCCCCATCACTATGTACAGATGTGAGAGCTGGACAGT